CTGCACCCCAGCCCGGGGAGGGTCCCTGCCTGCCGCTTCTCCCGATGGGCAGGGCCGTGGTGAGGAGCCCTCAGCAGCCCCCTGAATCCACAGGGGTCACCCTGTGGGTCCCTGCAAGTCCAGAGGGTCCCGACACCACCGATTTCCCCCTCCAGAGCCTCCGACAGCCCAGAGCGAGGTGGACAGACAGACAGGCAGCTATTCCCTGTGGGTACGGCAGGCACCGTGCCCATGACAACACAGGCTCCACTTCAACAGCCCCATCCCCCAGTGCATCAAATGGGGCCTGAGTAAGGGGATGTTCCATCTGTCTGATGCCCCCCCGGCATCACCCCGATGCTCCCGTCCTGTACCTGCTGCCTGTCCCCACTGCCTGTCCTCTTGCCCACCTCAGGGCACGGTGGCCAGATCCAACTGCTCCTCTGCAATGTGGGCGCAAGCACCCGTAGCCTGCTCTGCCTACCCCCAGCATCTGTCTGCCAGCCCGCCACGCCACCAGGCTGCCCTGCCAGCACCCACCAGACACAGCCCAGCTGCTGGGATTGGCTGGGACAGCTCAGAACAAGGCTGAACCCTGCAGTGCCGGGGACACGGAACCCCCACTGAACCTCTACCCTGACCATAGAATGTTCCAGCCTTGGAAACCACATGCAAAATGGGGTTAACAACAGCAAAACGGGGTTAATGCCAACTGGGAGCTCCAGCAGAGCTGCCCCCATGCCCAGAGCACACAGGGTGCCCACCCTCCATTAGCCATGTGGGTTAGGGGTCCAACGCTTGCCATGCCGCAGACCCCTCGGGGCTCATTGCCAGGATGCTTGAGAGGAGGCTGGTGCCAACCTTGACCCTTTCATGGACACAGACATGTCCTCTGGGCTGGCAGGACATGACTCCCACCTGTGGCACCTCCGCAGCCCCAGGAGGCCCCTGCTGCTCCCAACAGAGGGGCTGCAGTGTCCCCTTGCACACTGACCCGCTCCCGTCAGCCCGTGATGCTGCTAAGCTGCTTTCGTGGCTGACCCACGTGCCTGGGCCATCAGATTAGAGCTGGGCAGCAGCGGGCACAGCGCCGGCCACGCAGGGGGGGTTCAGCCATCCTGGCAGCCCCACATACCCCATGGGCTGCTGAGCTGCTGACCCCACGCTCCCAGTATCTCCCACTCCTACTGCTAACTGGAACCAGTAGCAGCTCACAACAAGCCCAGGGACCAGCTGGGGTAAGGACCAGCTCAGGGCAGAGGGCAAAGGGGCAGCGCTGGGGCTTGGCCACAAACCACAGCCAGCACTGCCCACCCTGCCTGTAGCCATGCTGCCCTGTCCCCTACCCCACTCAGGGGCTAAGCTGTGGCTCTGGGTGACAGTGCGACAGCCCCAACCCTGACACCATGCCGTCCATCTGGGTCCTCCTTGCAATAAGCAGCCCCAGGGCTTCCTCTCTCTCCTCTCCTTTTCTTCCCCCACAACTTTCGACTTTCGCACAGCGGGGACGAGCTGTGCTGTCCCCGTCCCGACCCCCGCGTCTCCCAGCGTGACTCATGTTTGTTGACCCAGGCTATTTCCGAGAGCACAGCTGGGCTGATCCCCATGGGACACCGAGCCCCTTCCCTGCCCCAGCTCTCCCGCTTGGCCCAGTGCCACCCCCACACCACTGTTCCCCCAGGGAAGGGGCAACAGACAGGCGATTTTGGGCATGAACAAGCCACCGGCGAAGCTCACACCCCATCTCCCCTCCTGCACCCAGCACAATGCTGTCTCCCCACGGTGTCCCCTTCCCAGCAGCATTTCCATGCTGCTCCCCACTCCCTGGGGACCTGCCCTCAGCCGCTTTCCCACGGAGCAGGCAGCCGCGCCAGACCCTTTGAAGTGGCCTCGAGTCGAGGGCTGTGTACTGGGCATGATGCTGCCCCCAGCACAGGGGGGAAGGCAGCCAGACTGGGGGTTCCCCAAGAAAACTCAGGGGCACCCTGTCCCGAATGATCCCCGCTGCCCTGGGCCTCCCTGCAGCCTGCAGCTGGGGGCATGCGGGGTCTGGGGGCTGCCTGCCACCCCATCCCAGGTCCTGCTCACCTGGGAGCATCTCAGGGCAGCCCAGGCCTCCATCCTCCCTGCCTGGCAACCGCCAATCAGAGGCGGCTCAGCCGTTGCCCTGGAAACCCTCGTTGCCATAACAGCAGCTGATGGAGGCACAGGGGAGGCAGATGGTGGCAGAGGGGGACAGCCATGGCTGGCAGGGAGGGACGGGGGGCTGCACACTCAGAGCCCTCCCTGGGGTGGGTGCCAACCCCCTCCCCGCAGCCCCCCAGGGCCGCAGCACAGCAGGTGGCGGGATGGAAACGCTTCCAGCCCAGCTGGGGTGGACACACATCTGGGGGTGGCTGCTGGCTTTGCCATTTGCACAGGACCCCCTCGCACTTTGTCCCACCCACCTTGCTGCCTTCAACCCCAAGCCACAGTCCCTGTACCCCGCTTCCAAAAGCGGAGCTGCCAGGCATCTCCCATCCCAGGCACCACCCCAGGGCAACCCTCCCAGCCCAGGCCCCTGGCCCCACGAAGTCCAACATTGGGTGAGATGCCCAAAAGCCGCAGCGCATACCTGGATCTGTCCCTTGCCCATGATCTTGTCCACGATTTCATTGTTGTCCTTGTTGAGCTTGGTCTTGTCGTAGCACTTCTCGTAGCAGAGGATGCGCAGGGACTGGGAGCCCTCCAGCTCGATCTCAAACTCCTGGGGTGTGGAGGAAGGGTGGCTTCAGCCCCAGCACCCCAGAGCAGCTTCAAAGCCGGGGCTGGAAGGGAAAGGGGGGCACAGTCCCCTCTCTGCATCCCACCCTCCTCTCACCTCGTTCCATTGCGGCTCAGTGGTGTCCCGAAAAACCCTGGTCTTGGCTTTGCTGACGAAGTAGCCAAAGGAGTCCACCTCCAACGTGCAGTAAAGGTCTAGGGGAGCAGACACTGCTCAGCACCCAAGGAACATGCCCACCGGCTCCCGGGGGACTGCTGCAGGCAGAACAGGGCCACATGCTGGACCCCAGCTCCCCCACTCACACTGGCCCCTCCGAGCAAGGGTGGGCACCCACACTTACTGGCAGACTGCTTGAAGCCCTTGGCGGAGTGGACGATGACGTGCAAGAACCCGTAGAGCCCGGGGGATTCATCGTCTGTGGTGGGGAAAGCAGAGGCTGAGTCAGGGCTCTGCTGCCACCTCCCGCACCCCCGGGCCCGCCCTGTGGGGCTGGCCATCCCCAAGGCAGCCTTTGCCATAGCGAGCACTGGGTGCCTGTGCTGACACCCCAATGTCACCCATCCCCTGGAGGGCCGTCCCCAAAGTCTGGAAGAAGACACATATCCCCCGCTGCCGATCATCCCTGCTGGCCATCCTGAGCTCTCACACTGCTGGACAGCCCTGGGGGAGGTTCCCAGTTGGGCTGGCTGGGTCTCACCCTGGGGACACCCTGGTCCCGCTCAGCCCGTGGGAGTCCTGGAGAGACCCCAAAAGCAGCCCCATGCTGCAGCCGGGATTGCTCCGCCTGGGAGCCCGACTCTGCTCCAGCAGTGCCACCTGGTGGGTAGCTGTCCCCCTGCACAGCCAGGGTCCCGGAGTAGGGACCCGGCTCCAGCTGAGGGATCCTGCAGCTCCCCCCGAAATCATCTGGAGGCAAAGAGGGACCAGTCACCAGCCCAGCAGACACTCACCATCTTTATTGCTGGTGACCGGGATGTTGTGGACGGTGCGGAGCTTGAAGCAGGATCCCGTGAGCACCTGCAGCTCCACCGAGCTCAGGACGAAAGCCTGGAGATCTGGGAGAGGACAAGAGAGGAGCCTTCAGAGGGATGCAGCCAGTGCTGGCCCAGGGACCAAGCAGGCTGTGATCCTGCGGGACCTCCTCATGGTCCCTGGGAGAGGGCAGGAGTCCCAGGAGGGCCTTGGTAGCCCCAAACTTACCCTTCTTCTGCAGTTTCTGAATGGCCTCCCTCCACTCGGACCTCTCATAGTCGGATGACAGCAGGAAGAGGTAGCTCTGCAAGAGAGAGGGCGATGCGGCAGGCTGTGCGCAGGCAGGGCTGAGCCCGGCCCCCAGCCTGCCCCCCTCACCTTCCCGTTACGGTTGTGGATGCGGAAGGGGATGGCAGGCGAGTTGAGGAGCAGCCAGAATTCATTCTCAAACATCTTCTTCTTGAGGCGCTCAATGGCCCGGCTCTGCCCCTTGTTGGCTTTCTGCAGGCGGGGAGTAGACAGGAGCTTTTGCAGGTGCCCCTGGCCCCACCATGTCCCATCCCTGACCCCAGAGGAAGGCACCCACCCCAGCAGCAGGTCTCACGCCATCCCTGACCACCCACACCCTCCTCTCACCTCCTTCTGCACCTCGCTCTTGATGGCTGAGATCTTCATCTTCATGTCCTCCAGCTCGTGGTCGGGGATGACATGGACCTGAGGGCAGTGCTCCGACTCCTCCGGCGAGGGGAACACCAGGTCGGCCAGGGGCACGTACCACTTGCAGTCATACTGCTGGTGCTTCCTGCAGCCAGGGAGCAGACGCTGAGTGATGCCTGACCCCCCTGCTGGCACGTCCCTCTGCCTGCTGGAGGATGGGGGGTTTGTGCCACATTCCCCCATGCCCAGCACCCTCCTTACCCCACCGCCGTCTTCTTCAGCTTGGCACAGAGCAGCACGTCGGTGAAGAGGAAGACGTGCCGCAGCTTCCGCGAGCCCTCCGACAGCTCCACCAAGAAGCCATCCTTGACAAGCTGCCGGGTCTGTGGGGCAGCAGGGCTGGCGTGAGAGTGGGCAGGGAGCAAAGGCCAACAAACCCCAGGGGACGGATGCTCCTGTCCCTCTCCATGGCTAAATCAACAGGGGAACAGGAAGGTCCATGCCTTCCCAGTGCTATTTTGGGTTGGTACACTCAGTGGTGTACCAGCAAGCAGCAAGAGCCAGGTAGAGCCCTGGCCTTGCACCCAGGACTGTGTCTAGAGGAAACCCTCCATCTCCTGGCCAAGCCCCATGGAGCTCCTCAGGGTGGAGACACCAGCCAGGGGCTGGCAGAGGGCTCAGCCCTCACCCTGTGCCCAGGCACTGCCCTCCCTGCTACCTCACCTCCCCCTTGGGGGTGGTGACTGCTGTCCTCCGGGGATCGATGTCCTCATTGATGCTGGAGAGGAAGTTCTGCGAGATGCGGAGGGCGTCCTGGAGCAGCGGGTAGTCAGGGTGGTCGGCCGGGGTGTGCTTGAGGAGGTCCTGGAAGGGGACAGGCATGGTTGAGCGCGCCGAGGGTACTGCCCTGACTGCAGCACCCACCCCAGAGACCCCCTAGGAGCAATGGGGGCAGAGCCACCCGCCACCCCGGGACTGGCATTGCACTCACATGCAGGACGAGGGTGCTCCGCGTCACCCGGTCAATGGGTTTGTACAGCAGCGCTGCAGGGAGAGAGGAAGTGTCAGCAGCCACCCACTGCCCAGGCTCCGGCCCCTCTCCCACCCACAAGAGCCAGCACCGTACCCCACGGGGGCAAGGAGGGGAGACCCGATCCTCAGAGACCCCCAGGTCTGCACAAAGCCTGGGGCGAGCATCTGGGGTCTGTTCTACACAGAGCTGGCTACCGCGGGACCATCACGTTACTGCCCAGGGCAGTGCTGAGCCACGGCTCAGCACCACAGCCCCATGCCCTGCTGTGCCAGGAGCAGGAGGAACCATGGCCAGGCTGGCGTGCAGGGCAAGGGCAGAGCCCAGCGCTGGCAGCTGCCCGACGTGCACCTTGATTTTGGGGCTGCACCCAAGGGGTTTTGCCTACAGCACAGGCACCTGCGAGGTCCCCGCTGGGGTGACAAGCCTGGACAACTACAGTGTGGCAGTTGCTGCGTGGCGCTTCCCGCATGGTGCTCTGCTCCAGCCATGGCCCCATGCTGGCAAGGTCTGTCCCTGCCCCGGGATGGGGCACAGTGGTGACACCGGCCCAGACACCACGTCCTCCTCCCCTCTGCTGCCCCAGGTCACGGGCGGCAAAGCCAGAAGGGCCATCGCAAACACCACTCTGCCCCGACTGCCGCCCGCTGCAGGACGTCCCCACCCCAACCGCACCAGCGCACCCCCCTCCGGGGTGCAGGACCTCACTGGGTGCGACGCAGGCACCGGCACCCCCA